ATAACTCCAGGGCACAGGGTTGTTTCAAGCTGGCCTGAACATTTGAAATAACAGGCTCCCTACTCCTCTGAGGGAAACCTGGAGCGCGCTCGTGACGAATGCTGACCGTGCTGCCACGGCCGTGAGGACAGCACCGTCCAGGCCAGTAAGTCTTCGTTTTCTACATGTTTACAGAAACTTCAGGTTAAGTTCAATGAGTAGGAAGTCATACATCCCGTCTGGACAGCAGATGTGGAAATGGGCCACCTTTTCATAACACGATGAAAAGGCTACATCTCTGCTGTCCCCTGACTCTGAGTCACCTACGTCCAGGCCTCTGGTACCGGACATACAGGTGAGCTGCCAACGAGCTTTTTATTATAGAACCAAAACTTAAATAATTGGTTTTCATCTCACAGGAATGACTTAAAAAGGCACATGGGAATGTCTGAAAACCCCTCCTGGGAGAAACAGACAGGAGATTAGAATGATGACCTTAAAACAAAAAAATATTGATTTGCTTGCTATCTTGCCCACCTAAGTACTAGCAGATTTGATATTCCTTGGACATCCTAGAAACATGATTGTTGAAAAGAAATCTTAATTGCAGAAAATATTTTTAAATGTAGTTGGAGACAAAAATAAAGAACAAAACATTTCTCTCAGAAGTGAAAAGGCAACACTGTGATGCAAAACGTGTAATATGTGACACTCCTGTTTCAAAGCGTCCCTGAACGTGTTGTAGCTGCACGGTGGGTGTGAGGTGGCACCAGCACAGCGACAGTTACAAGACAATAGCTTTACGGCAACGTTTCTAGGGCCCATCACTGCAGTGGGACCGGAATTGTTCAGTTTGATCAAAGTAATAATGTTTAAAGATCATTATTTATGAATAAGTTACATAAACATTTAAAATTCTCAGGAAGGGGTTATTCAAGTTCCTTGCACTAAGAATAGCTAAAAAGGCCACAGATGTTCTTCAATTTTAGCATCTATTTTGAAAAGAGAAACTCATACCCCACAGCCTGTATTTTAATGTGGGTCCATGAGCTTGGAAACGAATGTGACCTCCAATAACATTTCCCCGTTTTAATTTGCATTTCACGAGCGTGTCGCCCTGTTTCCCTCTCCCACTGGCATTTCCAAGACGAGCGGCCAGGCGATGAGGTGGTCCCACAGAACTGTATGTTCACCATCAGAGAGTTTGCACCCACGAGCTCTCTTCTGGTAACATTCCAGCTGGCGTCACAGACGCCTCGGCAATCATGCAGAAATAAAGACGTGCTAGAGAGCAAAACGGGGCAGGGCCGCCGAGTCACTCACTGAGGGCGGCCTGGACCTTGATGACGTCGGACTCCTGGGAGCTCTCGCTCATGCCCACGGCATTGACGGCCTTGACCCGGAACATGTACTGCTCGCCCGTGGTCAGTCCGTGCACGACGAACCTGGGGAGACACAAGCGGCATGGCCACAGGTGTCACCTGCTTTCCTACTCGGGCAAAAACCGGTCACCTGGGCCCTCGGCAAGAATGTCTCGGTGGGACTGAGAGGAAGCTGACTTGTGTGCGTGCCTTATGTATGCATCACACACGTCCGTTTTCATTTTATCACCTAATTAATTTAAATCAACATGCACGGTCAAAAAACAAGGTTGTGCGACCCCCAGTTCTAGCAGGAGCTGAGGGGACAGGGCTGAGGACATTAGAAGTGAAACCCTCACGGATCCCAAGGGGCCTCACTCAGGGTCAAAGCCGCCCACTCTGTGCTCCCTCTGCATTCCTGCATTTCCCAGGTTTGTCTGGGTCACAGGTCCGCTGTAAAACGGTACTGAACTCCTCACTTAAAGAGCCCCATGTGTGAAAACTTGGTGGGACGTCGTTACACTGTCGGGGCCACACGTAAGACAGGGAAGTCAGGCTCAACTCAAAGACCAGCTCTGACAACAGGGGTGTGTCCCCGATCAGCTCACCATCCGTGACACTCTGTCCCCCACCGCGAGGTGTGGTGACTGTTCCTACCCCACAGCCTGCTACAAGCTCCAAGGGGAAAGTGTGCAAAGAAGCCAGCACGCGTGCCTTGCACGCCGAAAGTGCTCACTAAATGTAAGCCAGTGTTATCTGTCTCACAGGGTCTGCACACAGGTTTGCCCATTTACAAAATTGCTGCTCCTCAGTAATATTCTAAGTGTTTTGTTCTGGGAGATCTCTCTGCCATTTGCCACGGACTGTGAACAACATCTAACCATCATCTGCTCAATCACATCAGTTCTTTTTCTAGCCACAGCATTTTCCAATTATTTAAAAAAGAAAAATGTTTGAAAAGGAATGATGGCTGAGCTGTAATTGATAGCCCATCACAGTGGAGACCTGACAGCTGCCTCTATTTTCCTAAGAAGCATGTCCTGGAGAAAGTTTAATAAACCCAGACAACCTCTGCACGCTCAGCACGAAGCAGAAGTAAATCGATACCAGGAGCAGATGCTCGCTCTGCAAAATGAGCCCACCCGCCCGGCACCAGGGGAGCCAGTCCCCCTGGCTTTGTCCCCGTAGGTGGCCTGCGAAGAGGACTGTCAGTTATGTGAACAAAGCAATTTAAAGGTTCAGAAAATCAATACAGAAAAAGCAAACACCTTCCACATCACAGTTGCTGTCCTAACTCTCCGTTCAAAGGAAAAGTCTTAAATGCTAATTAGGGCAGAAGAGGAAACTTCTGGGACGCCTTTTTCGGTGGCAGAAAAGCACTTCAGGTAAGTCGTGGGGCCCAGCTCACCACCGTTAACACCCTGCACCCCTGTGTGCGAATCAAAGAACAGACTCAGTGTGTGGAAATTTCACAGACATGCTTCTACCATGGTGTCTGCTGCTCCCCCTGCCGTGGGGATTTCATGTGGGTTTTGCTTCTTGTACTTCATTCCCAGGCAGTGATGTGGGGCCCCGGGGGGGGGCAGCACCTGTCGTAGCTGATGGGCTTGTGGTTGCAGGGCTCCCAGACGTTGGACCCTGCCACACAGCAGTCCACGTAGTAGCCCAGCAGGTCCTCTCCTTGCTTCGGCGGGTCCCACTGCACCACCACCGACGTCTTGGTGTTCCGCGACACCAGGACCCGGCCGGGAGCAGAAGGGGTGACTGCAGGGAACACAGTGGGAGCGGGTCAGTGGGGTCAGGGTTTGGGCAGACACACCAGACATCTGTGCCCGTTTGTCCCCAGGAGGTGGCAACCCGGGTTTGGGCCTTTAGGTGGAATGTGGACAAGAAGGAAGGGACAGGCAAACGGGGTGTGAAAACAAGCAGAGGGACCCAGGCGGGCCCTCCGTCCTGTCCGCCCTCCCACGGCCCCGCCGGGCCACAAACAGAGGCTACAAGACGACATCTCCGGCCCCTCCACCAGGACCAGTGAGAAAGGCCTCCGGTGACACACGTGCTTCAGCTAACTGGGCAATAGCTTTTTTGGAATGGAAAAATACCAACTGAAAGAAAATAAGACCCATTTCCATCAGATTCATCAGACTCTGAGAGGGGACTCAAGTTCAAATCATAATTTGACCATGGATGTAGTCCAGAATTTCTACAGTTAGTATTTGACATCTTCAAAGGGGGAAGTTCAATCATACAGGTCAGAAACTCTAGTGCACTTGGGGTTGAGAGTTTTTAGAAAGTGGCCATTGCCTAAAAATACTTCTAAGCCATTTATCGGTTTCATAAGAAGAAGATGGAACTTGGGAGAAATGTGAGAACGGCCGAGGCATGGCAGAGACCTTCGTGTCTTACAAAGGCGGCACCTTGAAGTTTAACTCGTACGTGACGCTGGTGCCTTTCTGAACGCATCATGACGCTTCTCTGACATCACCTTACTCGGGGCACGTCCTACTCTCCAGCCACTCACTGTATCACTCACCAATGGTGTCCTGAGCCTGAATGGGGGGAGTGATTTCCGATGGGTCACTCAGGCCGTGCTTGTTTGCGGACAAAACTCGGAACACATACGGCTTCCCCTCAGCAAGGTCAAAGACGGCGTATCGAGGGGACCTCACGGCCAGCTGGGCGTTGACCCGTTGCCAGCTGCCACTCCCGACCATGGACTGCAAAGAGAGACAGGACTTACGAAAGGGAGCCGAGGGTTCCCCAAACTTGAGTCGAAGGAAATATTCCATTTTAGCTAACCAAATTATATTTTAGGGACGGCGTCCTGTACTCCACGTGCTAGGCCATCAGGTAAGTCTTCCCTGAATTTTACGAAAAGGGGGGCAATGTAGAGAAGTAGGTAAGAAATTACCTAAAGTTGGAAACGCTTACCAATAAAACTTTCACCTGAAAGAGAATAATGAAATCATAGAAAACTTAAGGAATCAATAGATAGGTTATAGTTTCAGTAAAATGGAATGAACTGTAAATAGTTAAATTTAAGAATATATTTGTAAAATGCCAGCATAACTCAACTGTTCACATATCAGTTTAAAACTGTTACTATTTGGCAGCTATTTATACTGGTAATAATGTAACGGCAATCCAAATAATTAGCAATGGGGCAGGATACATTGTGATACATTCAGACTAAAATGTAACCTTTTAAGTTATTATATAAAGATCTCCAATAGGATGAGAAGAACTGTATCATTTTGTTGAATGTCATAATGGATGCAAATCATATCTAGTATTTAAAAATCTATAGAGGAAAACACTATAAATATATAGACCACTTGTCAATACTGACTAATATGAAGGAATTATTGGTGCTTTTAATTTTACTCTATATAAGGTCTATATTTTCCAAATGTTTTGTCCTGCATGTTGAACTTTCATCATTGATTAATTACTTTTAAAGCTTCAATTGCATGTTTAACTTTTTTTTCTTAAAAAAAAACCCCTTTTTTCAAAAAATCCCTAAGTCGTCAAAATTGGGGGGCAATTCACCAGCCCGAGGCTGGGAGAAAGACCGGGACAGCATCGTGGGCGATAGATAACCCAGGCTCCCGGAAATCAGATTCATGGTCAAAGGACAGGTTTTCTCTCATTTTAGCAAAAGCGAAGTCACTTTCTTGGAACTGGCACAGGCGTCCGTGGCGAGAGGTCCCCGCATGCCGGGTGTATCCTGCGTTGGGGGGAGGGTCACACTTGGCTGGGCGATCAGAGAAAAGGACGCTCATGTTAGATGGAAAAAGGAGAGAAAAACTGCAAGGGACTTGCTGCCACGCTTCCAGGGGCCCAAGAAAAGCTGGGAGCCCAAGTCCCTCGCAGCTCACGGTTCAAGCAGGCGCTGGAGGAGGGTGTGCCACCCAGCGTCTTCCGGGGGCCCCCCAGGGCACGTCTCTGGGCCTCTGAGCACCCACATAACTCTCAGTGGAAACGACCGGCCGCCCAGTGCTGAGCTCGAGGGCCTGAACACAGAGAGAAGAGACAAGGAGCCGTCCTGGGTGCACCCAGAGCAGAGAGCTTTCAGTGTCGGTCAGGTGAGGAATTCTCAAGAGACTCTCACAGGGAGGGAAATCCATGCTTAAAACTATGTACTAAAGAGCGATGCTCTCGCTGGCGGCCACCTGTGGTGTTAATTATAGGGCTGGAGCGCACATCATCCTGGACCTACTCCTCACATAAAATGGAAATGTCAGAATATACAGAAAATAAACGACAAGTATTCCTGTGGTTCCTTGAGGCCTCTGATAGGAACCAAGTCACCCAAGACCACCGGAGACAGACGGTGGGTGGACAGGCGTGTGCGGCTCCCACCCGGGCATCCCATCCTCCACGCCCCCGGGCCCTTGGGCACCGTGCCTCGCCTTGGGCGGCCCTGGAAGCTTCCTGTCCTGCACCCACCACGGGCCGTGTGTGCCTCCCCCACGGCAGCGGTAGTGAGGCACGTGGCCCCCGACGATGAGGTGCTCTTTCTGAAATGCTCGCGAACACTAGCTCTTTCTGACAATGGTCGTAGACGGGCAGGCAGGTGCCTGTGCAGGGGGCCGAGGACAGACCCTTCCTCCTGGGTCAGCACCACCTGGGGCTGACCACGCGACGTCCACTGTGCAAACACTGTGCTTTGTCACCCAGAAAGCACAAGTGAACCGCCCTGCAGCACGGCGGCCACAGCCCCCCAAGGAACTGAGCTCTGCAGAGAAGTGGGAGACCAGAGGCCCAGTCGCATGTGCAGCCAGAGGCAGCGCCCACGGCCTCCTCCCTGCCTGCCGCGCCGCACCTGCCATTTCTGTGACACAGTCACTGCATCACATACTGTACGCTCCTGCTGACTGTGATATTCTACACGGGCTGCACACACGTCATAGCATGTATTACACCATAATGTAACTTAGTGCCACAAAACCACAGGTACAGGTTCGTAGGACTATAAACGCCCACAACCCAACAGCGAGTCCCAGGTCACAGGAGTGGATCTGAGTGGCATCCTTCAGAGCAATAGACAAAGTAGGACAGAACGCACAGCGCGTAGTAAGGCTCTCGTTTTTTAAAGTGTGTGTGTGTGTGTGTGTGTGTGTGTGTGAGTGAGTGTGTGTGAGTGTCCAGGCCTGCAATACACCAGCTACTTCCTTACCTGTGTCCAGACCTAAAGTCTTCAAGCCAGTGACTCCGCCGGCTAACGCTCGGCCACCTGAAGTGTGACTCGCTCTACAAGATCGCCACCCAGTGGTCACGTGGCTCATGACCACGCTGAGAGCCCAGCCCAGCAGGCTGCGAGGCCTCAGGAAAAAGACAACAGACCCAGCCGGCCTCAGCCTAGCGCCGTGAAGGGGCCGACTTGCTCGTGGGAACAGCACAAAGCCAGAGCGAGGACAGTTCCCCTGAGGCGGACATGAGCTGGTGTCACAGTCACAGTTCAGCCAGCACCCATGGCTTCGCATCAGATAACAGGGGTGGAGCCTCTCTGAAGACCTGTGGCCTCGGGGACACTGAGCACAGTACCTTCTCAATGAAGTACATCAGCGGCTCCTTGCCACGGGGAACAGGTGGGTCCCAGCTGAGGACAATGTACGTCCTGTTGATTTCGGAGGCATGGACGTTGGTGGGTGGTCCTGGAATCTGAACGTCACCTAGAGGAGGAATACACGGGGTGAGTGCCGGGGACCGAGGGGCAGCCGGTTGGCTCAGCCCATCCTCAGAGCACCGTCCACTGGGCACACGGCCGGCACGGGACAGCTGCCCCATCGGGGCTGCCCTTAGCATCACTCCTGTTTCGGGAACGCTTGCCAACACCCAGGCAGAGGCACTGGCAGAGATCGTCCAGTCATTCGCATCTCGAACCTAAGCCAGTGCACGAGAAAAGAATCTAGCCCAGAAGCCTCCCAGAGCTTCAGTTGGAGGTGGGGAGAGATTTACCCAGAAGATTTAAGCATTTAACCTGAAAGGCAGCCTGGCTGCACTGGGGACGTGCGCCAGGAGTCACCACCCCTGTGCCCGGCAGTACGGACGCCAAACGTGCCCTGCTCTAGGGGCCCGTGCTCCTGCCCAATTCATCCTGTGTGCCCTCCGAGCACTGAAACTACGTGAAAGCACGCTGTCCTCCCCAGGTGGCGCTACACCCAGTTCTCCGGCTTCCTAGCCTGTGCTTGTATATTTGAAATCGCAGAGGGCAGCAAAAGCCTTTACAAACGCCTAGGACAGGTTTGCAGTCAGACATGTCCACTCAGCTCTCTTCTGCCACGAGTCATTTTTTTTAATGTCATATTAGGTGTCAGGGGCATTATGTTCCGGTACGAGAGCTTTTCATAAAAAATGGGGGGCAGAGGGCAGAGGGGCAGGGGGTGGCGGGCTTCCGGGCCTCACAGCCCCTGTAATTTCAAAACAATATATTCTGAGCTCCAATTAGCTCAGCACATGATTAGAACAGCTTGAAACATCCCAGGATGTCTCTGAGCTCTTCTCAAAACCCCCTTCTCTGGGGACGCGGCTGCCAGCAACACGCAGGACAGCCACTTGGCAGCGGCACGAACGGGACTGGGTTTCACGTCACAGGAGCCGTTTCAGAGCGCAGCCCATGTCACAGGCCACCGGCCTAGAAACGCAGCATGGCCTGAGCTGGGAGCCTCTGGAAGTGGGTTGGATTTCAAACGAGGAGTCAGTGTGTCTCGGGAAAGTGTCCAGAGTGCCAGGAGGCCGGGGCCTCAGCACCCCAACGCCTGCTCTGCACCCACGGCTGTGTCGTGCCTGAAGAGGCACAGAGAGGGGCGCTGAAGGGAGATGGCAGGGGAGCCTGCCCTGAGGGCAGCACGCGCAGAACTCCCAAACACACAGCGGCTCATTTCCGAGGTGCCAGAGGACACAGGATGCAAACCCGCAGGACAGACGGCCGTGGGAAATGATGAGGGCCGTGTGGGCACGTGAACCCCCAAGTGCAGACCGGCACCCCCCACTTTCCAGTATGAACACTGACTGTTTGTATCCCTGGCCCAGAGCTTCTCAGCCCAGAGAAATGCAGTGAGTAGCGGTTTATTTGCGGCCCAGGCAAGAGGGACGAATCCAGCTTGGTCAGCACGGAATCCCGACCGGGCTAAGATGCTGGAGGTATTGGGACCTCCGGCAATACGCTCGGCGGTGCCCCAGCGTGAGCGCGGAGTCTGGAGGTGGCCTCCACCATGGACAGGACAGGAGGCGACTCGAAGTGGCCCCGGGAAGCCACGGAGATAAACTGCTGTCCAAACCAACACTCCAGCAGCGGAGGGACCTTGGCGAGGGGAAGGCACATGACAGCAAAAACGGCCAGGCGCTCTCCCCACCTGGACAGGTGCTGCTGGGTAGGGGTCCTGCCCTCAGCCTTGGCTTCGGCACCCCAACGCTTCCCTGAAGCCCTGTCCTAACAGGTCACGTCAAGACCGGATGAAAGCGGGACATGAAACGGAAGACGGAGTCAGAGAAGCCGAGTGCTTTCCTATCCCTCAGCTACTGACGGGTGGACTTGGGGTCCAAACCCAGGTCTCCTGACTGCAAACCCTGCATTTTGTTCTATCAGCCCCAGGAAATCGCAGCCTGCCCAGGAGGTCCCTAAGTCAATGAAACATGGAGTTCATTGGAATTGGTAGGGCCCCCAGGGGGACAGAACACAAGAGAAGACACAACCGTAATTGAGCCTTCAGAGTAAATGACGAGCCGGCACGTCAGCCACGCAGGACCTGGTCCGGGCTGTGCAGAGCGTCTGGGCTCAGGATGCAGTGGCATCAAAACAATCTCATTCTATTCCGCGAGAGCCTCGCTGGCCTTTCCAAGAACAGACACTCCAGTTTTCAATGGAGCCACTCAAGAAAGACTGGGGAAGTTGGATGATATTAAGAGGAAAGAGTTGGCATTAAAATGTTTAAAGGGAGACACTAACCAAGATGAAAGTGATTAGAAAAATTTAGCAAAAACCTAAATAAAATAGCAGAGGAGCAGCTTTGTAACCAACAAAAGTAATGCTTCTTTTTCATTAAAACAAATGGTGATGAGCAGTTATTTTCTAGCTAAAACAATGCTCAAAGAGAAAGGTCGGCTTAGGTGAAGAAAAGAGTCAGGGGTAGAAAAGGGGAGAACAACCTAATGACACACTTTTGAACCCAGAAATGGTTTGCTTAAAAACCCTGTGGAATTTCTTTCTCTCGCTAAAGGTTATTTTAAATCAGAAGACATAATCACTATCTAGCATGAGGTCAGCGCATGGATGAGCTTTGCAATCCCCTCTCAGCATACGGGAATTTTAATTTTACACCTAGTTTGTTCCAGGCCTTGGAAACTGCCCATTGGCTGCGTGCAAAGCCTCACCCCGGGGGGGGGGGACTGTGTACACTGAACTCCAGCCGTGTCACCACCCCAACCAAACAGCTCGCCCCTGAGAGTTGGCCTCCGCCTTCCACGACCAGCCTTGGAGCGTTTCCCAGCGTGTATAAGACACAGCCCATTCGAGAACCCATCAAAAACAGTGAAGGCCGAGCCCAGGCGCCAGAAAGCCTGCCTTCTCGTAAGAAAGGAAGCGAGAAGGAGCACGACGAACGTGATCTGTGGTTCTGTTCCAGCTGGGAATGAGAGCCATGGTCTCCCAGAAACCAAACTTCCATTTTTCCAACTGGAAAACCAAGTGTGTTATTTGAAAGTGTGTTATTTCTTTTTTTGGCACTTAATGCACAGCTGGCTATTTATATCCCAAAGCATCTACATCCATATATAAAAAGATAGCTTTCCTCCCCAGAATAGCATAGTTGCTGCCTGGGAACACTTAGCAGAGTCTAGGATTTCATGCCCCGTGCTTTTCACAGTGACCTTTACATAATGCAAATTTCATCATAGATACGCGACATTTATACAGCCACCTAACGCCTTCCCGTTTCAGGTAACTTGACTGGATTTTCACTCCTACACGCCCAGTCTCGGGCCCCTTCTCTCCTCACCGATCCCATCGGTGAGGCAGGGAAAGAGAGCTTCCTTTCTCCACGTCAAAATACATGCTTTAGACAGGCCAGTCTACTAGAAGAACTTCCCTTCCAAGATAAGTAAGATTTTTATCCATTCGAATACAGATGTTTGAATCCGTCACTTAGGAAGTCACGATAACTCAGCCTCCCCAAATCCCCTTCCTTGTTGGGCACCTTTCCTGGTTTCTGAGTTCTCCTGGACACGGAGGTTTTAATAAGGCTTTGCACGTCACTGTGGGATTAACCAGAACTCTTAAGTCTTAAGGGTGTGTTCTTCTGGGAATTACAAGCATTTTTTGAGAAACCAGGGAATAATCTTTATGGGGCAGAACATACAATTTTGGATACCATTT